TCTCTCCAATAGAACCATCAGTCTCTGTGATTTGCCATCCTCATTTAAAAAATCATATAAATAGGTCAACTTATCCAAGTCAGATGACCATACAACTTTCCATTGTATCTATCTAATCCTGACTGACCCATCCCGGCTGCCCATAAAATGTTTCAATATAAATTTCAAGGTCCTGCCAGGGTTGAGATTACTCTGTTGATTACTCATAGTCTGCTTTATCCTCACACTAAACCTGAGTCTCCGAAAACTTCATCTTAACATTCATCTAGTTTATCCTCATTGTAGACTGGAGTCACCATGACAGGGCCACCTTGAAAGGATCAAAATGACAAGTTCCAAAGGAAACCTATCCCCAGACTTTCTTCCAGGAACCTGGAAGACATTCTTTTAGTAAATAATAACTGCCTATATTCACCCCCTCACTCAGGCAGATTTCTATAATTTTGTCTTAATTGCTTTTAATAGATGTGAAGTTAGAGACTGAGCTCTGGGCCCTCAGTCTCAGTTTGCATCTCACCAGAAGCCCTGTCCACTATTTTTGCTTTCCCATGGTACTTAAGGACTTGGGAGTCCCCAACTTGCATATCTGCTAGTAATAAACTGCCTGACTTGGCTCTGTGTGCTTCTGTTTCCTCCCGTTTCCTCATCCACAATCTCCTCACTCCAGTCTTTTTAAGGACATAATTATCCAAGGGTGTTCATGAAAAGAGAAACTAAATATTACAAGAATATTCTTTAACAGAATTAAAACATCCATTATTAAGTAGACACAAGGCAGGGGCAGGGAAAAGACTGCCCATTCCTTTAGTCTTTTTTTTCCCCTTTGAGTTTCTTCTATAGTCATACACATCCTGACTTCACCACAGAGGGGTCATATCTCATAGTCTTGAAGACAGGAACTGCAGGTGTTGCACAGACTGGTTTCCACAGTTGTCCTCTGTCTACCCCTCTCTTCTTTTCTCTTTTTTTTTCCTCTGGAGAGTTTCTCAAAAATCTACTGCATTACATGGAAAATGAAAAATGTCACCCTTCCCCACCTGAGGGTTTATCTAACAACAACAACAGTTTACTACGTGCCAAGCACTGTGCTAAATGCTTTGCAAATACGATCTCATTTGATCTGGTGCTAGCTTCTTTATTCCCAAACTAGAAGAGAATATGACTTTCAAGGACTTTGTGGCTAAGCTGATGCTTGTCTGGGATTCTTACTCAGATAAAATGAGACAATTTTTGCCCTGAAGGAAGCTGTATTCTAATGGAGGAAACTGAAACATAAAAGGGGCCTGGAAGTGGGAGGGAGGACAGGGTGACCATTCTGGGCCAGACCACTAGAGAAGAGGTGGAAAAGTCTGGAGGGTTAGGTTTCATGATGAAGAAACTGAGTCCCAGAGAGATTAAATGAATCACCCATGGTCACAAAGGTTATAAGTACCAGAGGGAGGGTTTGGACCCAGGTGCTTTCACTCCAGATACTGCCTTTTCCACTTTCCTATTCTTCTTTTTTTTTTTCCTATGAAGTGCCTCCAACAATTTTCATTAGTTAATTTTATAGGAAAGAAAAAAAAACATGACTCAGATTAGTTGACTCAGTGGGGGAGCATTAAGCTGTTAAGTTTCAGAGCTGGAATTCTAACACAGTACTTCCAACTTGAAGAATTTTTCCCTTGAAGATTTTTACACACACACACACACACACACACACACACACACACACACACACACACTTGTTACTGCAGGAGTAGGTCTCCTCTCTCCTTCTCTACCAAGATTTTCCTTTGTTGCTGGTGCTTTGTTGTTATCAGTGAATGGAGAAGGCTTTAAAAACTAAAAAGAAAGATTGTGTGATAATTTTTATGGGCAGATAAGGACTGTCAACCTGAAAGTTGGTTAAAGAGACAACAAGCTAGGTGATAAGTAAATTCATATTGTTTTGTTCCCTTAAGTTAGCAGCAGAGGTTTAACTGTGACTGCATCAAGCAATTTTAGTAGAATATTTAAATCCTGATCTGGCTTTTAAATTGTTCAACTCTTCTATGTAAAATAAAACAATTTAGCATTAGTTAGAAAGATCCAATACTGAAGAACTCACTTCCAATGCTCATATATTATGTGGACTTTCTTTAGTGCACATGCTTACCGTATGCACATGCAGCCCTGTCATCTCTCTATTCCACTGCACAGTTATTATATTGTTCAGAGTAATATTGCAATAATTTCTTGTATATACCTGAAATTTTGCAAAAGGCAGCTTGCTGTTATATCTGTATGTCTTTGGCAGTTTGAAGAAGATATTTTATTCTTTTGAAAGTGTAAAGAGGAACTGTTTTTAAAAATCTAAGTTGGAAACTCTGCAACTATGTATAAAACATTGGAGGTTGGATTTTGATTTTTAGCAATAAAGCAGCAAGGGCTGAGATTGCATTGGGGGAAAAAAAATCTATCTATCCATGTACGTGCCCTAGAATACAGAGCCATGGAGACGCACACTCACTGAACTCCTTGGCAGGCCTGGCAGGGGCATGGTGGCAGGGAGCAGTGCAGAAGACCTGATAAGTTTTGGGCCAGGCCACCAGATCTTGTGTCTTTTTCTGCAGTTCAGGAAGGGTGAAAGGTAGGGGCTGGATGAGAGAGATGAGAATCCTGAGCCTCCACTGTCCATCCAGAAGATCCTTCATTTTTTCTTCTTCATGGTCCTGGTGGCCGGGAAGAGCAGGAGGGTTTTGGAAAGCTCCCTGAGGGGCTGACAGCAGTCTGGTTTGTGTCTGTTGGCTCTGGCTTACTCTCAGAGAAAGCAGGCTCCCTTCTGAATTTAGTCTTTTGTTTTAAGTGCTTTCACTATGGCTTGTACTGCGCATCATTGGTCTCGTTATTCTTTTTCTTTTTTCTTTTTTTTGTTTTTGTTGTTGCTGTTGCTATCCTTTTTCAGTGTTGCATTAGGTATTGTGTGAAAGCCTGTTTTGAACTTCCACCGGAAAAGCTTACCAGACCACCCTACACTTGAAAACTAGGTAAAAGATTTTCTAGGATTAGCTTAGAGTTACTTGGTTTTTGAGAAATGTGCATCTCTCATATTGATCAAAGGGGGAAAACGAAATGATCAATAGAAATTCTGTATCTTTTTCTTATTGATCCTATTTACAATTGATTTTGTCTTGTAACTCTTTTTTCAATTTAATAGTTTAAGACATGGTTCTTTGTCACCGACCTTAGTTCAGAATTCAGCTTTCCCATAATGACTTAATTTTGGAAATCCACCTGTCCTGCTATTTGCAGATCTATTCTTCCTCAAGGAATTTAGCTGACCTTGGGAGATGTGAGTGAACACAAGTCAGGCCTAATATCTCTATCAAATCAAGCTATCCTTCAAGAATGTCTGCCTTGTTGCCTCACTTCTGGACACTTAAGAGGGAAGGAGGGGATGGTTACTAACCCCTATTACCAAGCTTCCAGACAATTCTGTGGTTCCCTGAGCCTCTGTTCTGTAGTCAATTATGTTGCCCTCACCCAAATGATGTCACCTATCCTGTACCATTCTTTGCTTTGCACTCCCCAAAAAAACCTATAAAAAGGGAATTATCTTTTTGTTCTGCATCTTTGGCAGAAATGGATATTAATTGACCCATTTATTAACAAGCAGCATGCCCCTGTTAATAAATGTAATCTTGCTTAAAAGATTACCTTAATTCACACTTTTGTTAAATTTGTGACAATGCACCACTTATATCAGTGCTGGTGAAGTACAAGATTCACAAAACCTTACGCTTCTGTGTCTTCTTCAAATATTACTTATCTATTATAGAAGATTATAGGTAAAATATAAACCTTCTCTCTTAATCCATACACCGAATCAATTGGTAGACATTTCTCCACTGTCCCTCTATTGTCAACGCAAACTGTTTTCCTCAACATCCCATTGGGTTCCATGACAAACACAATTTCTAAAGTGGAATGATGATATTTAATAAATATTTCAGGAATGAGAAGTAAAAATGGTCTTAAGGAAGTAAGAGAAGGAACTTCACGTGTTATACCGAGAAATGAGCGAGTTGACGACCCAAGCTAATTTTAAATTGTGGACTTTATTAGCGCGCGGCTGCCAGGGATATTCACATCCAAATCAAGCAGCCCCCATCAGGGGTTGAGCTAGGGTTTATATAGGGAGTATACAGGACAGGGAGGGGGATGGATCTTTGAAGTCTGGCTGGTCAAGGACACCCTTCTCCCTCTGTGTAGATATGATAATGCTCTGCAAACTTTCCTGAGCAGCCAGATAAGGGTCTTGCTAAGGAATTTGGAGTTTTCCAGAGATATGATCTGAGGGCTAGGACCTGAGCAGCCAGATAAGGATCTTGCTGAGGCCCATGCATGAATACTGCTAGGCACAGCGTCCTTGGGCTGGGGAGTGGTTGTTAGAGATAGTGTTTCTGAGACTAGGGAGGCATTTTGGGGCAAAAGTATAAGCACAAGCACCCGAGCACCCCATCATTACAGGTCAGGGATCACACAAACCAGACCAGGTGTCCTGGTTTCTGGTATAAACATAATTATCTAAAGCCATTGTATTGCAAGTTTTCTTATCCATTTGCTTTGGAGGTATGGGCTGTGCTTAAGCCATGCAGGAGTACATTTCACTATTGTTTAGATTTAGGAGGAAAGAGGTCTGGGGCAAGATTAAGCAGCAACTTCTGCTTTCCATTGCCTAAAGGGCCCTACTACCTAAATGGTAAAATAATGTTCTGCATTACACACGGTAAAAGAATATAAGAATAAGCTAAACTTAAAATATTTTTTCAAATTTTAAAGCTTCATATGAAAAGTTAGATAAGAGTGTGATAAAGATTGATAATATCATTGATGTCCCTTATAGGGACATTATAGATATAAACCCTACAATTCCTTCATCTTATGGGGTGCTGACCTGCTTTCATCAGTTTTTTAAAGATATCAGGAAGAGTGGGAATAGAATGCTGGACAGTGAAGCATCCAGGGAAAAGAGAGTCTTAGGATCTATTCTTTCCCCAAAGTGAGCAAAAGAAATAAAGAATTTGGGAATCAGAGCTGATAAGCACAAATGGGCTGAAGGCTGGATAACATGCAGCCAAGAATGCTGATATGGGAATCCACCACTGATCATATTTATCAAACTGAAAAAGATAGAATGACAAAATGGAATTAACTGAATAGAAGGAGACATAGATGCTCACCAACACCAAGATGGTGCAGGTGGCTCTAATCTCAGGTGACTTTCTTGACAAGAGGCTGGAGCTGTGAATGTGCTGGACTTGTCGATGGTGTCTTTGTAGGAGAAGCACCAGGAAACCACTGGCCATGATCATAAATCCCACACACAGGAAATCAGGAATAGAGTACATAATTATAAATTGTAAGATTTTAAATGAGGTTGAAGCATATTCTAAACAGAATCCCATATTCCATATCTTTGTGTTGTTGCTGTGTTCCGTAAAGCTGTTCATATTCACAAACATAAAGATATTTATCATTAAGTGTAGGATCCAGAAGAAGAGACATAATGGGAAAATGTACTTTGAGGTATGGGTTTTGAGTTCTGGCCACATAGAAAAAGAAAAGGGACTGATGGTGATAATCTGAAAACCACACAGAAAGCAAGTGAGGCTGACAGAAAGATTATGGGCTACTTGGTGGAGGAAACTAATAAGTTTACACCGAATACGATCCAGGAAGATTGTCAGCCCCAAGCCAACCATTGTCTGAGGGCCTCCCTTGGAAATTAGCACTATGGAGTTGGCCAAGGCCAAGTGGAAAAAAATGGAGTCTATGGGTCTCAGCCTCTTGCCAGTTAGGAGAGTAAAGGTGAAATGGAAAAGTAGGAAGAAATTTCCCAGTAGACCAGCTCCTGTCTGCATGAAGAAGACCATACCTAGAACTAAGTCAAGAAAAATAATTAATTCTCTCACTGACTAAAGTAGAATTATTCTACAGCCAGGGAGAGAAGGAAAAAGAAAGAAAGAAGGAAAGCTTTCCAACATTCCTGAAGACCATGTACTATAGAGAATGAGTAAGAATTGTGATACTCAACCTGATTCATAGTTTTTGAATTTTCCTTTGGTAGAAAGCAGAGAACAGATACCTAAATATTAGAAAGCAATATAGGTAAAGCACCACAATTTAACCAGGCTGTCAAGAGACATTTTCCAGTCAATGACAGTGACCAATGAGGTAGGGAAAATGAATGCTCAGTTTTCATCCAAAAGTCCAGAATAGAGAAACAAAACAATCCACATTTGAAATAAGCTAAAATTCAGTTAAAGGAATAAATGATAGAGCTGAATAGATTATTAAAGAAACTATATCTCATACCTACATAAAGAAAACTTAATGGAAATAAAATATGTTATTTAAGTTAACATGGAAGAAAAATTTGCATTATTCATGTGCTAGGACAAAAATATGTAGATATATTTAGACATGAAGGAATCCTATACTAAAGATCACATTGCAACAAATAAATAATGGTTCTAAGGATAACAAAACTTAATCAATAGTGGCATATTTAAAATAGATGACAAATGCATCAGTAAAAGATCAATTATAAAATATCAGATTACATCCAATATCAGGAAAACAAATACCATATGTAAAAATTAGTAGAATGTTGCTAAAATGGAAAATTGATTTAAGATTATCCTACTGAAAACCTATAAAATAATATGAAATTTGATGATGTGTGCATCGTTAAATATTGAACAAACAGAATTATGTACCCACAGAAAATGAAGTAAACAGCCAAAACAAAAAGAGAAATTAAGCAAATATAAAATAACAAAACAATTCAAACAAAAGCAAGAGTTGGTTAAGAAAAAACTATATGAAATGATAGGTAATTGCCCAAAGTTGTTTTCTTTAATAAAAAAACTCACATGACCAGATTTTGAAAAGAGAAAGGGGAGAATAAAAGAAGGCTAAAATGAAAATTATCCAATAAATATTCCATGAAATTAGTCATTTTAGATACATTTGTTAGTTCTAGAGATTCACAGCACCAAATTGAGCACGACAAGAAGTAGATGACACAAGCAGGCTGATTATATAGCTTATCTGGATTAATGAGGTTCCTACATTAATTTAGAGATTTAAAACAATAGTATTCAAAAAATTGTAAGCTGCTTGATATAATAAATAAAGCCATGTCAAAGTTCCTATAAAAACAATGGACAGGAAATAAAAAAAAATAGGAACATTAGGACTGAAAAGTAGTATTTCCTTTACCAAGGAAATTGTAATATGGCAATATGTATTAAAACAATCTAGAGAACAATGGGGGGCCGTGGATGGAGAGACTGCCTAGGTATCAGAAACAAATACATTCAAGTGTAACTTGTGAGACATAGTGGTTGTGTGATCCTAAACTATTCACTCACCCTTTTACCAGCCCAAGCGTGTTGCTTGGACTCAAACATGCAGAAAAGGTACTGGACTGTGGTAGTAAGGTAAGGTCCTCAGCGGGAGTTCCTTATACCAAAGCAATCGCAAGCAGAAATGAATACTAATTATAATTGTTGTCATTGTTGGTAGCAGTGTTATTTTTGCTGTTGCTGTTCCTTTGCTGTTATTAATGTTAACAGACAAGCAAAAACAAATAAATAATTTTTAAATGGAACTGAAAAGATTTCATGTGGAAGCATTGATTCATGATTTTCAGGCAAGAAGGAACATAGAGGAAGGAAGCAGGTGCATTAAATTACATTGGAATGTGGGGAATCAGTCTAGGAAGTTTGTTTTCTTGTAGAGAACACATGTAAAGGTGTGCTATATGTGGAGTAAGAGCAAATTGGGTCCACATCCATGTTGGACAAAAAAACTACTACTGATATGACATTGCACCAATCACTCTAGCCTGAATTTTCTCACATATAGCCCACACAGAAGGCATTATATAAATACTTTTGACCTTCCCTTTCATCATTAAAAATGAGAATACTGGAGTAAATTATACCAAAATCACCTTCAGGATCCAAATCTAATTATCTTACAAAATATATGACATGTGATGTATGAAGAGTTAAAGAGACATAATTTCTGAGTAATTAATCATTTTATTAATTGTGGCTAGTGAATAATTAATAAAAGGATGATCATTTGGCTTTCTCTCATGTACCAAAGATGGATCATGGCAACCTCTTCACACTCACATGCCATCAGAAGAGTGGGTGTTCCTGACAGGCAGCAAACAACTCTAACTGGTTAACAACTAATGGGAGAATGATTATTGCAATGAGAGGTGGGCCCATTCTAATGAGTGGCTGGGGAACATGACCCTGCCCGCTCAATCTTAGACAAAGAGACTTATCTCTACCCAAACCACTTCTACCCAGGGCAATCTAAACAAAGGGAGTCTGTGTCCCCCCAGACCTGTCTGACTAGAAGACAATGAGCTGGGTCCCTTTTGATCAGATCTAAGTTATCCTAGTTGGTGACTTCAGAACAAGATTGAGGAGAATGTTACATCTGATCTCATTATCAGCCCTATTCTTGAGAGACTAATTTGACCTAGTAGAGAAGGACTAAATAGGAAGGGAAAAAATCATGGGTCTCCCCAATAGTAATTGGTTATTAATATAAGAGAGAAATAACTGTTTCTTTCAGACAAAAAAATGAAAACATATGGGAAGGATTTTTTCCCATTATTTTCTGATAAAATTTTATTAACTACTCAAAATAGAGTATATTTTTGGAAGCAAAAATTCTTATGCTTCTTTTTATCACCATCAACTAGACAATTCATTCTTCTATCTTCCATTTGCACTGACAAATTGGGTCTCTACAGGATGACTCGCCTGAGTTATCTAAGGATTACTCTGAAGCATTGGAGTTTTCCAGGACACTCACTATTCTCTATCAGCTATGGTCTCTATAATAAATCAGTTGGGATATTTCAATTATATTTTCAGAAAAAGGACTTCTCAAGAAGGTATGACAAGAAATAATAATGAAAAGAATTCATATCATACTGGTACCTTTCTAGAGATACCATTGCCACTAATGACTCTTCTAAAGACTTTAGTTGTAGATGAAAACTCTGAAGGCTCTGAAAGAACTTCCAGTCACCTGACAACTACCTACTTGAACCTAAGCTCAGCAAATTTCAGTAAAAAATAAACACAAGAGAAATAGAAGTAAATTGTGCTCGCAGAGCATGGATTAACTAGGTGGGATGGGGACAGCTGCCAAATCTTCCCATTCACCAACTCAAAGCAGGGCTGCTTCTAAGAATAAGGGACATCCCATCTAAGAAAGGATATCCCTGTTGTATGCAAACCCTGTCTTTGTTCAACACCTCTTGAGTCATAAGTCCTGCTGATTCCTCATTGAATTGGGAGACTTTTTGCCACAGGCATAACACCCTCAGCTACACAAGGTCTAGAAATAAGCTCCCCAAATCTCCACTTATTGAAATGAGTATAGGCAGGGGATTTCAGTGTATTTTCTCTATAACTCAAGCAAGAAGAGCAGATGTGAGTGTTCTCTAAGAATTGGGAAGGTTTCACTGGTTGGTCTTGTCAACTTTAGCTCTTAAATTTTTTGTTGAATTATATGTGGGGGATACCTTAGAGTGCAAAAAATAAAAAGTTTTGGTCTTTCCATCATACACAAAATGTACTGTATTTGTCAATGATCTCTATATTTTAATTAAAAATGAGAAAAAAACATGTCTCTCAATTGCAGGGGGGAAAATATTTTGTGGAGTTAGAAAACAACAGATTTAATTTTACAAAGTTACATACGTCTAAATACATTAATACTTATATATATTGCTGTATGTGAACTATCAGATTAGAAGATCGAAGAAGCAAGATAGAAGACATAAGGAGAGAGAGAGAGATCTGGGTGTATAGTTGTATACAACTGTCTTCATTTCATATACTCTTAGGAAGTAGAACTATTGAGTTTAAAAATATACTAAAATATCTGTTTATGAAAAACAGTTAAAACATGCTCTGCATTATAATTTGAAAATTCACATTGAACAGATTATACTTGAGTCCCAAATACAGTCATTATAGTTTACAAAGTCATAAATTTCTACAGCAGGTGAAAAAAGGTGCACTCACTTTCTCTCTCTCTCTCTCTCTCTCTCTTTCTCTCTCTCTCTCTCTCTCTGTCTCTGTCTCTCTCTCTCTCTCTCTCTCTCTCTCTCTCTCTCTCTCTCTCTCTCTCACTCTATCTCTCTGACATATAATTATATCTTTGAAATCTTTAACTTTTTTTTTCCTGGAAAGTTCTCATTTTTTCCACCCTTTGCCTTTCGATGATCAAGGTAAACATAAAAGGAAGCCTCTTAAAATTATGAATCCACAATTTAAATAAATATTTTTGACGGCATATACACTGTGACAAATGCAAACAAATTAAAAAGAAACACAGCCCTTGATGTCTTTTACTCTCCTTACAGGATCATGGAAGAAAATAATTTATTACAGTCTTAAATTCCCAGGACCAGGGGTAATATAGGAATTTAGACCAAAAAATAAAAGATAATGGTGAACAGATAGACAGTTGCTTCAAATAAAAGATTAATGAACAATTCATCTCTTTGTCTAGCCATATTAATTTTTAAAAATCCTGTAAATAGGCCAATTTATTCAATTCAAATGACCCTCCATCTTTCCATTACTAAGTGAAATCATCCACGGTATACCTATGCTACATATGGCAGAAGAAAGATTAGGATTTTATAGATAATTCTGATTGACCCATTCAGGCTGGCCATAAAATGGATCACGATAAATTTTGATGTCCTCCCAGGGGCACATTGAAGGGAAAATGGTACTTACTACCCCAGAGAACCAAAAACCTTCAACTGAAGCAGGGAAGTCTGGAAGAGATAAGAAATCTTACCCAGGGTATTCGCCTCCAAAGTGCTGGTTCCATTTTGAAGCCTCTGTAGTCTCAGAGGAGTTGGAGTCATCACATTTCTAAAATGTAAGGAAAATGTTAACCTTAATTCTAGGAGTGACTGTCTCATGCACTTGCTAACTGGCAGTGAATCATTTCAGAGACTAACTGAAAAGGAAGCACAACTTTACTGAAAACTACCTCCAATGCCACCCACTAGAAAGTGACTCTGCAATCCAAAAATTTGTCCTTCTTTAGGAAGACTTTGAGGCTCAATATTGAGCCCTTTCCAAAAAAGTTACATACACAATTAAGAGTATTCTACGGAGATAATGGTCCAATAATCATACTTTTTGAAGGAGAGGATGCCAAGGAGTCAGAAAAGAGGGGTTTAGTCAGGTATTTAACATTCAGGAAGCAAATTAAATATCATTGGGAACTATACAATCTTTGTTCAATGATAGAAAAGGGAAGGTGAACTTACTGAAACTCACAACTGTTACAGATGCAGTCTATTCAGTGATGGCAAAGTAGAAGGAATTTTGCATTTCATTTTGCTGTAGTGATGGAGGTCACCTGGGTTGTTGTTGGTTTGTTTTTTCTCCTTCTGAGGGTTGGGCTAGATGACTTTTCAGGTCCCATCTCACTCTATATCTACTAGTCAACAAGGATGACAAATAGAATGAAAGAAACACACTTTCTTAAAGCTGTGTTCTCTGGATCTATGTAACAAAAGGGCATAGATATGATGAAAGTGGGGCTTGAGATTCAAAATATACCTGGCAGAATGTGTACAACAAGTGATAGGGGCACTCAAAAGAAGACCAATCAGGGGAATACTGCAGTAGCCCGAGGGCTTCGATGGCACTTGGACTAGGAGGGAAGACTTCCACAAAGACAATGTCTCACTAAGATTCTGAGGGAAAAGCCAGTTTCTCAAATAAAGGTCCTCTCAAATATATAAAGAACTTTATAAAATCTATTAAAAAATGAACATTCCCCAATTGATAAATGGTCAAATGATAGGAACAGGTAGTTTTCTAATGCAGAAATCAAAACAATTTACCGTCAAAAAAAATGTTCTAAATCATTATTGATTAGAGAAATGCGAATTGAAATAACTTTGAGATACCACTTTATACATCTCAGATTGTCTCAAACGATTGAAGGGGAAAGCAACAAGTGTTGGAGTGGATGTGGACAAATTGGGACACTAATTCACTGTTGGTGGAACTTTGAAGTAATCCAGCCACTTTGGAAAGAAATCTGGAATTATGCCCCAAAAGTTATTAAACTGCGTGTGCCCTTTGACCAACAATATCACTAGTAGTTCTACTTCCAAAGATGATTAGGGAAAAAAGAAAAATGACTTTTATATTCTAAAATATCTCTAGCAGCTCTCTTTGTGGTGACAAAGAATGGGAAATTAGGGGGATGCCTATCAATTGGGGAATGGCTGAACAGGGAGTGGTATATTATTGTGATGGAATACTACTGTGCTATAAGAAAGGATGAGCTTGTCGAATGTGGAAGAACATGGATGGACTTGCATGAAATAATGAAGAGCAAAATGAGCAGAACAAAGAGAATGTTGTACACAGTAATAGCAAAGTCCTTTTAAAAACAATATAGAGTGATTAAGTCGTTATGACTATTACATATACCTAAATTAACTACAAAGGACCTATGAGGGAAGGATGCTATCTTCATCCAGAGAAACAATTGATGAATAGAAGTTTATATAGAATGATTAAATATAGATATACATAGATATGTATTTTACATACATATACATATTTTACTTGTACAGATAGGTACACAAATTCGTGTCTAATGGTAGCCATCTCAAGGGTTGGAGAGAAGGAAAAAAAGGAGAAAAAAGAAAGTTACATGATAACTTTACTACATATGTATAACATATACGTATAATATATATGTATAATAGGTATTTTATATATATAAAGGAATAGGATGCTGTACATAATAGACTTGCAGTTTCATGTGCAATCATCCTTTTCTTTTTGTTTTACTATGTTATGGAAATATTTGTGTTATTTCATAAATTGAAAATAAAATTTAAAAGTTCCAGAGCCTTCTTTAGATTGCCTTTCCTATTGGCAGAAAATAGAGGATTGGCATCCCACTCTGCCTCCATTTTTACCTCCAGAAAGAGAGGTGATGCTCTGCCTCTAACTCCCTGACTCTAAGAATCAGATGTAGGAAGACACTCACCAGACTCGTCTCTACTCCTGAGGTGTAGGACTGGGCTCTGACACTCAGAGGATGGATATGGGAGGGGGCAGACAGAACTTAGTTATAGACTCAAGATTCTGTCTGCCTCAAGAGTTGGGATTATCTTGTCAGCTGCAAGACAAGGAACATTGACTTCATGGCATCTCAGGAGTGTCACTGAAGGCTTGAACTTTGTCCCAGGTGAAAATCATCATCAGCTATTTTTGTTGATTAATGATAATACATCCATCAACAATTATGCATTAAAAATGAGTCTGGCCAAAGAAATAATTTTAAAAATACAGCTGGGAGCAGCTTGAGAGAGAAACTTTTGCAGGTTCCCAGGGAGAGAGGGATGTGAGTGTTCAACAACATCACTGAGGGTTGGAAATGAGAATAGTGAAGCCTAGTTGAGGGCACCATCAGGGTTTTTCTCAGGCTGGCCTGGATTTTCAAGCCTTTCCTGAAATTCCTTTGCTGAGAATCTTCCCTCTTATTCATTTCAAACCCTCTCCTGCCATTTCAGTCATTGGCCATGACTTCCTGCTTAGGGTCAATATCATTAAAGACGCTCTGTTGTCATGTGCGCACAGAAATCATTAATCAAATTTCTCAATTTTCAAAACCTTCTGCTCCACTCAAAGACACAAAAAGCACCAGCAGCAAAGTGAAAGTGTGGATTTTAGGCACGTAAAGGGAGAACAGATCCACTTCAACAGCAGCATTCTATTTTACCTCCATGGAAAAATCTTTAATGGAAAGATTGCTGAAATTGGAAGCACTCTGTACTAATTCCAGTTCTGAAACTTAGCAGTTTCTTGATCACAACAAAGGCAACTAACCTGAATCTTATTTTTTTTCTCTATAAAATTGACTGATGATGGTCATTGGAGATAACTCATAGAAAAATAGCAATGTCTAGAGTGAAAGCAGCTGAAATTTATGACCTGTGTGGCCATGGGTGATTGATTCACTTAACCTCTATGGGACTCAGTTTTATCATCATCAAACTTAACTTTCCAGACAGTTTCACTTCCTTCCTACTCCAGAGTGGTCTTCTCCCTCCCACTTTCAGTGTCCTTTTCTGCTTTGGCTTCCTACATTAGAATATCAATTCCTTGAGGACAGAAATTCTCTCCTTTTGTTTGTGTAAGAACCCCAGGCATTAGCGTAGTCAAAATTTCCTAGAGAATCACTTTTCCTCTCAGTTTGAAAAAAAAAAGGAATTTAACAACAAATAACATGAGATAAAATTTACAAAGCACTTAGCATTGCTCTTGACACATAGTATAAATGCTATATAAATTCCAATTCTTATTATTACTGTTGTTCTTATTGCTGTTATTAGAAAAGTCCTGAGATCAGAAGGCTGAGGTCTTTCCTGCTCTGTGTAAGACATTATATTTTTGAGGAACTCCCCATAAGGGGGAAAAAAGGAGAAGAGAAAGGAGAAGAGCAAATAAGGCAACAGCAGCAGCCAGTATCTGTGACATCTGCGGCCATGAGCTACAACCTCTCAATGAAGAAGTCAAGATATATATGGCCTTAGCAAATGCCCAGAGAGAGAAAAGAAAAGACAAAAGGAATATGACACATTTTCCCTGCCCCTGCTTGTGTATACTTAATTATGTGTCTTTTGGTTCTGTTAAAGAATATTCTTGTAAGATTTTTTTTTCATAAACATTTACGACTGATCTTAGGACTTGAGTTGACTGGAGTAAGGAGATTGTGGATGAGGTCCTGAGAAGAAATATAAGCACTCAGAGCATCACAAGTCAGGTAGTTTATTGTTAACAGACATGTGATTGTGGGACTTTCTATAGCTTTAGTCCCATGGGCAAGCACAAATTGTGGGAAGGACTTATGGTGTGATGTACACATGGACTGATTGATAGCTGATAGCTCAGTCTCTGCCGTTATGTCTGATATTGGTTGCCAGGGAGGTTCACAGGGACTGAGAAAGAGGGGCACCTTGTAAGGAGTTAATCAATGGGTAACCCAGATGGCAATTCCCCATTCATGGATAACAATGAGATTGTGATTGTGAAAAGTGGCCAACCTTCCATATCTAGACAAGATGAAGTTTGTTAAACTATTTATGATTAGGAGGGATTTTCATTCATTATCTAAATGAAGCTTGGTACATAGGAACTTCCCAGGATGCAGGCAGGCACATCAATTATTGAATGTGAAGTAACTTCTGCCTACCAGAGCCTAGCAGTAGGCCAGTCCTCACATCTGATGTACCTCTGTTTGTGGCATGAGAGTGGAGGAAAGTTCTGGGATTGAGACAGGGAGAATGACTTTTCTTAGTTCAAGACAGGGAAGAAAATTAAAATCACTTTTTGCCAAGGGCAGATTGAAGATGGAACCTACTCATCTCAGCAGACTCAACAAAGGGTTTTTCTTTGAATCATAATAAATTTATCCAACTCATACAAGGGATAAAAAACCAGACATTTCAAGCAAATTAGGCTATATATACTCTATCCACTACACTATGCTTACTCTTGAGCTAAGTAGCAAAGGTAGGGATACTCATTCATTGACCAATACTCCTCAGATATTCTCTTACCCTCTGAGTAGCCACTACAGGAACTAACTTCTCAGATCCAGTCAGTAGCATGGCTGCCCTACAATAAGGGCCCTACTAATTGATCCACAAAGATTTCTACTACTAAAGACAGGTCTAATCTGCATCAGGCAACTATTCAGAAGCCAGTGTGTGTTGCCAGTAGACATTACCTGGAGCTCTTAATCTGAGCAAATAGGATAAACCTTCTAATTCTCACTCTTCCTCCCTTGTGCTGTTCTGATGGTTACACAAAAACTGGAGGGAAGACGTTCATCCAGCTTTTAACTTGAACACTTCTAGTGTGGCAATTCAGTTCAATAAACATTTATTAACCGACTGCTATGCACAAGGCACTGTGCTAAGGGCTGAGGATGCCAAAAAAGAAGACAGTCATCCCCTCATGGACCTTACAATTTAATGTAAAGCAGTGTAATAAAATGGGATGAGCACTGCCCTTGAAACCAGAAAACCTGGGTTCAAATCCTGTATCTATTGCTTACTCCCTGTTGCCTTGGTCAAGCCCCTTAACATCCCTGGACCTATTCCATCATCTGTAAAAAATTAGATGGGACTAGAAGGTCTCTGAAAACTCTTCCAGTACTGCAGCTATGATCCTGATTCAAGAACCTGATCAAGTGCAAGACATCCCATTGGTTTTTGCTGTTGTTTGTGGAGAGATCTATAAAGTTTAGCCTTAACCCCAAGCCTAATTTTACCATTTTGTACCTTCCACCCATGGTCCTTTGTTCTGTTCTCTGGGCCAAGCAGAATAAGTCTCATTCCTCTTCATTGTGACCTTTCAAACACTTACGAACAAAAATTATGCTGTCCTCTTTGAACTCTTCTGGTCAAGCAATTATTGAATGTGGTTTGTATTTTTCTATGTGTATGCTGTTTTCTGCCAGTAGAATGTAAGTTCCTGGAGAACAGGGATTGTTTTGTCTTTGTATCTCTGACATTGAGTACAGTTCAATGTATACTATGGGTGCTTATTGAATGCTTGTTGAGTTGCATTCCTATGTGGGTATATCTATCCATTGCTATACATATCAATCCATGGATAACTATCTGCTGGTAAACATGGAATTGTAATGAATTATGCTAAGTTCCAAATACGTTCCATGTTCTTAATGGGAATATTCCAAATGTATAATTAGTGTACCAAGCTTCAGAACAGAGGCCCAATGACTATATCTCCTAAGATGTACATTCCTAGTCCCTGAGAAGCAGGAGGGGCTCTAGACTTGGGTTCTTGATACCCATCCTCCCTAGTCCCTCAATGGGAAAGAGAGATACCATCACTACCTCCACATTCCAGACTCATATTTTTTTAAAGCCTCCAAGTCTCTTCACAAGATTTGGGCTGGATAGGGCATCATCAGCCTACCTAGTCCAACTTCATTCTGTAGATGAGGAGTGAAATATTAAAAAAAAAATACTTGCTCAAAAGCACGAAGTCATATCATAGAGTTACAATGGAATTCAAGACTTTTGATTCTAAATTCTGGACTTTCAACTACAATCACTGAGTTCTTATTAACTCTTCCTTCCACATAAATGTCAGCATTGATTTGATAAATTCACCATCTACATGTTTACTCAAGTTAATATTTAAAACTGTTACACAGCACAGGGCTTTCAAAAAGGAGCCCTTTCGTGAGGCACTGACCTCCTCTTTATACATTTTCATGACCAGAGATCTATCCACCTGAGATTAAGAAAAGGCCTAACATCAATATCTGATCTGCAGTTGTAGGGGGATCTTGTCTTGCTCTGCACTAGTACAGAGTGATTGGTATCATGGGCATCAGACATTGCGTTCACAAAGACTTCAGACAACTGGGACAGGTATAATTGGGGCAAGGTTGGGAGAGCTTAAATCTCAATGTGATGTCATGGATCAAGTACCCTATGGTCTTCCTGGAACCCCAGCACCAAGTCATGTCCCCTTGGGCCTTGTTAGCACTCATATCCCCATACATAGATATCCTAGTCATGGCCACACAAAAGGAGGGAGTTATAAGCAACTGATAAAACTTTATTCAATACTCAGTATATGCTCCAGGTCAAAAGTCAGTTTTGTGCATAATGGCAGAAATGATGACATGCAATTAGATGTCTTCCACAAATTTATGTTTACCAACTCATCCTTTCATGCCCATGATTTTTGCGTATATGTGTTATTAATCATTAACATATGTATCCAACTTTGGGGCAAAGAAGTCCTAAATCTTGCATCTCCCTCACAGTTTTTGCTGTGTTTAACCCTTGTGCTACTCTGAAGCCCTTAGAAGCAGATGTTGTTTCCTACAAAAGAATTCTTTGGCTAAAAATTCTACCTTGACAAATAAGAATTAAAGAGCATTAAGTATAGTAAAGTTTGGAAGAACATTAAGTGTTTTCTGATACCATTATTTTTATCCAAATTATGCGTAATCACCCATCTCTTGTCATCATTTGATATTTCCCATTGAAAAGTTGATTCACCACTCACATTCTCCCTTACTTAATCTGTCTCAAAATGACCTCCCCCTCACCACATTTATGCCTAAGAAGTTATCCAATCCTAACACTCTCTCACATTTCAATCTATCTATTCAAAGACTCTCACCTTTTCTTCAAAATGTAATCTTCTTAAGGAAAGTGACTAGCTCACCTGTATATTTGTGTCACCAGGCCAGCTTTGCACCTGGCAAGTTTTTAGCATAAAAATGCTTAGTGACTGATACTTTCTCTCTTTAGTGAACTCAAAGTTACAAGTAATGCAACAACTCCTAATACAATGAGTAAGAAAGCTGAATGAGCAAAACATCTCTTTAGTAAATAGTTGTGATAGAGTACTTCTCACAGCAACTGAGGTTCCTTTGGTGCAATTCCATGGTCAAGGAAATCAGGGATATTCCATATTACTTGGTGTTTGGGCCAAGAACTAGCTGAACTGGCTGGAATTTGAATGGAAAGGAGCTTCCAACTATCCAGTTCTTATAATACAATAGAAGTTCACCAGCCTGGTCAATTTGGATAAGTCCAGAGGTTCTAACTATATGGGGGCAGAAAGGAGAAATACTTGGACATAGTAAGTTTCTTAGGATTGAAAAATCTGTTAGATTTCCCCAAGGGGGGTAGTTAAAGTAGCAGTTTCATTCATTTGACATCCTGCCTATGAAGAGTTAACATCCTCTATAAACGAATGCACCAAAAATATTCCATTTTCCTTTGAATATCAGCAGTAGGAATGAGATCCCAGGAACCAGACAGAATGCAGTCTGACCTACAGTAAAGGTCATTTTAACCCATCTTCATAAGGGGCATAATGTAACAGACAGGCCTAATCTGGACATCCATTAATAACTAGTGCTAGGTAATACTGCCCATAGGGAGACATCAGCATTACTTCATCCACTCTCCCACTCAGGTTAAGAATTCTAATTCCCACTCTTTCTAAGGGTATACGGTTCTTATGCTCTCAGTGCAATAGGCCTCTTTAAAGTTACTCACTGCCTCCCACTCTCCCCATCATACTCTGCCTGCTGCAAATTTCTGCACTCCAACGAGTCAACATCTTACCATGGGAGCCTTCACTGGTTAAAGAAAGGAATGTATAGGGGCATTAAAAGAGACTGTCAAGTTGATAGTTCTGGTGAAGAGGATTTACTACAGGCCTAACTTCATTATTATCTCTCCATTTCCTCCATAGAATTCTAATTAAGGCATTCAGTAGTATCATGTATAGAAAGTATGGAAATCCTTTTCTAGTCTCCAACCCTTTTCTGAGGAGTACAGAGAAAGATGATTCTCATCCTGTGGCATGTAGTCTAGAGGTAGAGGCAATGAAAGCTTTCGGGTATGAGTTGTGCAGAAAAGAAAAAAGAGTCAACAACTTAGGACAAAAGTTTAATCAGCCCTCTTTTGACAGAGGTTGGTAAATGAGGACTAGAATGGACAAAGTTGAGTTGAAGACACCAGTCAGTTACGGAATTTTCATTCAAATCCAGATCCTGATTTAGCAAATGAAGTGTGTTGGCATAGTTGCATATTATCCTTTCTTTTGTGCCAATTTGCATGGTCATTAATTGATGGCATACTTGTACTGAGGATGCACAAATATCTAGAGAAAGTTCTCAAAGTGATCCAATTGATACATCAAACTTTAAAAAAACATGGGGTAGCCCATTGAGTGAATAGTGTGAACACTGATAAAGAATTTCACTTTCAGGTGGCCTATGGAGAAGTCCATAAGCCATGGTTGGATGAAAATAACTAGCAAGTTCCTTCTAGGTGAGGAATTTAAAGCATGAAACAAGTGGGGTCGTTAATCAGGAATGTTGCACAAGTCTGAAGGTAGAATTTTCCTTCGTCAACTATTTTATCCAACCCTAAGTTTAATTTTCTGTACACAAGGCAGTGTTATAAGTCTACAATGGAAGAAAGAAGGTTAAAAGTGTTTTGTTTTATTTCCCATATTCAGAGGTTTGGTGAGTGTAAACCTGTCACAACCTATGCCAGAGTTCTTCTGGGCTTGTCAGAGACATAAAGGAAAGGAGTAGGATATAGCATAGGCAGTGAAAAGTACAAACATTCAACTGCTGTAATGGGAAGAGGCATAAAAGGAGGCATCATATACACTCAGTCAAATTAAGGTTACTTGTGATTGCAATGGAAGATTTCAGAAATGAGAGCATGGAGATCAGTTTCTATTTTAGGGGAAAGCCAGTCAAAATTTCGAAGGGGCTGGCAACATTTATTTTAATAAAGCCTATTGATTCAGTAAAGAACCAAGGTCCAAGGCAGAGCTACAGAGATGGAGAACCAATGAGGTTAAGGAGAATACATGGATAGTTGGAAGTCATGGGGATGTTGGAGACAGAATTAAGGCAGGCAGGCAGAAGATATGAGTAGGGAACTAAGATTGCAGGGTCATAGCATTTATGACCTAGGAGGGGCCTTTCAAATCACACAGCCCAATGCCCAAATCTTCTACATAAGAAAACTGAGTCATTATAGTCAGAAGAGAATTTGAGACTGAAACAAAACTACAGATAAGGATATATTTTAACAGTTATGCATAGGCCTAGTAGTCCTCACTCTTTGGGTTCATAAAATGTTTTCATATTACCAAAATATTATAGCTAAACCCTAATATCGATGTTTGATGAAAGGTAAACTATGATTAAAATGTTTTTCAAAATCATTACATTTACAAAGCTTCTCTCCAACATGAATTCTATGATGCTTAATAAGGGAGGAGCTATGACTAAAGGCTTTCCCACAGTCATGACATTCATAGGGTTTTTCACCAGTATGAATTCTTTGATGTTGAGTAAGGGATGAGCCATCACTGAAGGCTTTCCCACATTCACAACACTCATAGGGTTTCTCTCCAGTATGAATTCTCTGATGTTGTGTAAGAGATGAGCTATGGCTAAAGGCTTTTCCACATTCATCACATTTATATGGCTTCTCTCCAGTATGAATTCTCCGATGTTGAGTAAGGGAGGGGTTTTCATTAAAACTTTTCCCACAGTCACTACATTTAAAGGGCTTCTCTCCAGTATGAATTCTTTGATGTTTACTAAGGGATGAGCTATCACCAAAGGCTTTCCCACATTCATTACATTCATAGGGTTTCTCTCCAGTATGGGTTTTCTGGTGTCGGGTAAGGTATGCTCGAGACCTGAAGGCTTTCTCACATTCACTGCATTTATAAGGTTTCTCTCCAGTATGAATTCTCTGATGTGTAGTAAAGGATGAGCTGTTACTAAAGGCTTTCCCGCAGTCACTACATTCATAGGGTTTTTCTCCAGTATGAATTCTCAGATGTTGAGTTAGAGATGAACTTTGGCTAAAAGCTTCACCACATTTGTCACATTCATAAGGTTTCTCTCCAGTATGTATTCTCTGATGGTTAATAAGGGATGAGTTATGGCTAAAGGCTTTTCCACATTCATCACATTCATAAGGTTTTTCTCCAGTGTGAATTCTCTGATGTTTAGCAAAGGATGAGCTATGGCTAAAGGCTTTTCCACAGTTATTACACTCATAAGGTCTTTCTCCAGTATGTGTCCTCTGATGTTGAGTAAGAGAGGAGCTGTCACTGAAGGCTTTCCCACATTCACTACATTCATAGGGTTTCTCCCCAGTATGAACTCTCTGGTGTAAAATAAGGGATAATCTATGACTAAAAGATTTTCCACATTCCTTACATTTGTGAGGTTTCTCTCCAGTATGTATTCTTTGATGTTTAGTAAAGGATGAGCTGTCACTAAAGGCCTTCCCACATTCATTACATTCATAAGGTTTCTCTCCAGTATGAATTTGCTGGTGTTGAAAAAGAGATGAACCATGGCTAAAGGCTTTCCCACATTCAACACATTCATAAGGTTTCTCTCCAGTATGAATTCTCTGATGTTGAGTAAGGGATGAGCTGTGGCTGAAGGCTTTCCCACATTGATCACATTTATATGGTTTCTCTCCAGTATGAATTCTCTGATGCTGAGTAAGGTGTGAACTGTCATTGAAGGCCTTCCCACATTCACCACATTTATAGGGTTTCTCTCCAGTATGAATTCTCTGATGTTGAGTGAGGTGTGAACTGTCACTGAAGGCTTTCCCGCATTCACTACATTTATAGGGTTTCTCTCCAGTGTGGACTCTCTGATGCTGAGTAAGAGATGCACTGTAGCTAAAGGTTTTCCCACATTTATCACATTTATATGGTTTTTCTCCAGAGTGAAGTCTCTGATGTTGAGTTAGAGATGAGCTATAAGTAAAAGCTTTCCCACAATCGCTACATTTATATGGTTTCTCTCCAGTATGAATTCTTTGATGTTTACTAATGGATGAGCTATGAGTAAAGGATTTCCCACATTCATCACAATCATAGGACTTTTTAGCTCCAGTATAAATTTTCTGACATTGAAGAAGAAATCTGCTGTTATTGAAGACTTTCCCGCTTGCATTATATTTAGTATGAATTTTTTGATGTTTAATAAGAGATGATTTGTAGCTGAAGAAATTTTCACATTCATTACATTTATGGGATTTTTCTCTACTGTACTCTCTCTGGTGGCAACTATTCCTAAGGAATTTTTCACATTCATCATATTCACAGGATTTTTCTCCATTATAAGTTATCTGGTGCTGATTAGAGTTTTCACTCTGAAATAAGGTTTTGTCACTTTTACTGCATTCATAAAGGTTTTTTCCATTAGATGTGGTGTCATACTGAGTAAAATCAGAGTGGTAAATGAAGTCTTTCTCCCATTTATAACATGTACAAAGTTTCTTGTCTAAGGAGATTCTGCTATTTTTTAATAGACTTGAATGCCATTTTATGCTCTTTCCATTTGTACTGAATTTATAGCAGTTCTTTCCTCTCTGTTGTGAAATAAGGGCTGAGTTCAGACTGAAACTTTTCTTTAATGTATTGCATTCATGGACAGTAGACATTTTAGGGGCATTTCTTTGGGTAATTGTTACTTGATTGGAAGGTTCCACCTTCCTCTCTAATTTGACATCACATTCCCAGACTTCTCCTAACTTGTAATCCCAAGGAATTTTTCTGCTCCATCTTTCCTGCAATGATTCTTCTATAGAAATACTCAGATTACTAGTTGACTCCATGGCAATAAAGTTTGTCTCCTGACTCTGGGAATCTGAAAGACAGGTAAAGATTATCAATAGCACTTGTTCTCTGATGAAGCTGTAAGGCTCTAGGCCTATCTAGGAAAAGTCAGTGATTGATTTAGGGAAAATAACACTGCAATTAGCACCATTAGAATAATGTTATCAATGGAAGACACATTGCTAAGTAGCCAAAATTCAGACAATGAAACCGTTCAAATAGGTTTTTATAGAAATCCAAGGCTATATAAACTTTTCACTTCTCTCTCTAAAGGCCCAAGAATTTCCTGCTTGGTAAGCAGGGTAAAGAGGTAGAAAAGTTGATCTAATTTATGTCCCAATCTATGGAGGGGTAGAAAGAAGAGGGTATAAGAATGGGCAGAAGAGGGATGGTCATTACAAATTCCTCAATGTTTTGACAGTTTCTTGTCACCTCTAAAATTTGAAATCCTCCAATCTCCATAATCACCCAGTCATTCAGTCTCAAGAAAAAGGCAGAAGCCTGCAGATCCTACCGTTTCTCATTACGGGCATCCATGGTGGAAACCCTGTGAAAGAGGCAGGACTTATTGACTTCCACAGAATTAGAAAAGTCCAAGTGGTACAAGGGGGCAAGTGCTTCTTTGTTCTGGTGACACTGCTCTAGGCCTGTCTAACAACTACTTTTCTGACTTGGTATAGATAAAAGCCATATCCATTTCTTTTTTCATTATCATTATTACTAGATGCCTGAGCAGCAAAATATTGATAGCTTTTGTTGAATAGCCTCATACCTTCTCCACAGTCCTAGAGGGCTCTGAAAAAGAATTTCCACCCCAAATTTCCCCTTTCTGACTCAGCTATTGGTTATGATTTAAATGCAATATGCTTAGCTTTTTGCTTTTTGTTTTGTTTTGTTTTTTGTTCTTGTTTTTGTTTTTTTACTCACGTGGATGGTTGACTACTGTTAGGACTTCTTTCTCTGCGTTCCATAATGCTTCCACTTGCTCCAAATGGAAGATCATTTCTGGTTTGGAAAATGGAAGCCCTGCTCATTGGGAAAGATGCTTGTATGAAGGAATCAACTCAGAATTCAGTTCCAGCCCTTTCCTTCCCAGGGAAGTGTTGACATTATAGGAAAAATCCAGAGGGATGTGCAAAGGGCTTCTTAAGGATTCTCAATGAAGTATGGAGAGATGGGTCACAGGGTTGATCTGAACCCAAGAAAACAATTAGCCTATTTGTCCTCCTTCCTGCTAAGAGGAGATAAAGAATTCAATTAAAGAAACATTTATTAAGTGCTTAATATATGCCTCCCAATTATTTTTAAAATAGTCTTATTTAATTACTCTATTTTCTGTGCTGACCCTATTTCTTTTTCTTTTTGATCATTTAATGTTGATATTTCCCCTATAATCTATTCTTTATCATTTATCTTCCTTCATCCTTTCACTACACTCTCTCCCTTGCAGAAATATCCTTATACCTATGGCTTCAACTACCACTACAACATAGATGATTCCCAAATCTCTCTCTCTAGCCATGACTTCTCCACTGATCTCTAGATCCATGCCTTCAGCTGTCCACAGTAAATATCCACCTGGTTTTTTCACTGACACTGATGGGGTACTAATGATGGCCCCCTAAAAGGTCCTGGACTTTCCCACATGGTCCAGTCCCTAGCATTCACCTCGATGGGGCATTAATGATGAACCCCTAAAAGGCCCTGGATTTTCCCACATGGCCCAGTCCCTGGCATTCACCTGAGGCATCCAGTCCATCCCAGTTTAATCCTTTTAACTGCCTTTTCACTGGGGCTCTCCTGCCACTTAACTCCTTCCACTGTCTGTACCTGGCCCCATCCCAGGCTACTTGGCACCCCTTAATCCCATCCAGATCTTCCCACAGTCTTTCTGTATAAAATATCAATCTTACCCTCATCAATTGCTCAGATTCTTAAAATCTGATCCACTTGTATTGGTGTCACAAATAGCACTGACTCACTAGGAATTTCACCCACCCCAACTTATGTTTTAATAAACTCATTATTTGTACTGAAAGAAGGCTTGAATGGCCAAATTCTTTCAAGGTAGACCTGCACTCTTTTTCTTTGCACTTCAGGGTTCCCAAGACCCCCAGACCACAACACTGATTCAGACCCAATACATCAAAAATTGAACTTCGTGTCTCTTCACTCTAACCTAATCCTCCTCCATTCACTATTTTTGTCTAAGGTACCACCATTCATACTATCTCCTATGTTCATAAACTCTTTTTTTTTTACTCAACCTCTCATATCCAATGAATTGTGAAGTACCTCTGTCTCTACAATACCTGTAGCACCTATTCCTACTTCTTCAAGAGTTTTCATTGCTATCCTTTTGTTGTCCTTCATTCTACAAAAGGACCAAAATAACATTACTATGTTGGGGTCAAAGTACAGTATGTCTAACTGTGGCTGATCAAACCAATACAAATTGGGAAGGTTCTACCATGGGTCTGGCACAAATAGTCCATATGAACATTTGTACTGGAGATGTCTCTAAATTTCCACATCTCACATTTCTTTTGTACTATCACATTAGACATCCAACAAATCTTTATTCCTTTTTTCTGCCTTCTGATCCATAAATCAAGAAAAAGTGTTCCTTAGCCATAAATCTGGCCTCGTTACTCCCTCACTCTGAAATCCCCAATGACTCCTTAAGACATATGAAGTAAAATTAAAACTTCTAAGTCCAGCATTTGGGGCTTTCCACAATCTGGTAACATCTTACCTTCCTAGGCTATAATATTCCCTGTATAGTATACATTTTAGCCAAAGAAGATTATTCTTTGCTCCTTGAATAGACCTCACACTTTACTGCCTCCAAGATTTTGCTCCCAATGCTCCCTATGCCCAATATTTTCTCCTTTTTTTCCTATTCACCTATTCCACAAAACCTTCTCTGATTCCTTCTGACAGTCAAAATTCCCCACATAGAAATCACAAAGTACTTTGTTTTGTTTTTGTATAATGTAGTTATCTCATGATGTGGGATGTTATAATAATCTGTGTTTGTGTCTAATCCTTCCACTAGACCATAGACTTGTGAGGCAAGAAAACATTTTGAGAAACATTGCATTTATCCCAATATCTATCTCAGTAATGTTTTCTCCCCCATCAGATTATGAGCTCCTTGCAGAGAGCTTAAAGTATGATATTCCAGAAGGCAAAGCAGCCAGAATTACAACCAAGAATAACATACCCAGAAAAACTGAAAATAATTTTTCATAGAGAAAAAAAGATATTCAGTGAAATAGAGGACTTTCAAGAACTCCTGATGAAAAGACCAGAGATGAATAGAAAATCTTACATTTAAACATAAGACTTAAGAGAGGCACAAAAAAAGGAAACATGAGTGAGAATTCAGGTTAAATTGTTTATATTCCTATATGGAAAGATGATACACGTAACTCCTAAGAACTTTATCATCATTAATTCAATTAAGAATCTAATAAGTGGCATGTGTATGAGTCAATTATGTTGCAATGATCTCAAAAAGAGGAAGAGGTGGGGGGGGATTATCTGACAAAAAAAGAAGGATGCACAAAAGAGTTTTTACAGTGGAGGGAAAGCATAAGGAGTAGCAGGCACCTGAACATCACTCTCGAAATTGGTTCAAAGAGATAACACACACACACACACACACACACACACACACACACTCACTAGACAGAGAGATAGAGATAGATATAGATACATACCTATACATACGTGGATATACTTATATAGACACTCAATTAGGTATAAAAATCTAACTTACCCAACAGGGAAGTAGGAAGGGAAAGAGATAAAGTAAAAGAAGGGTAGTGAGGAGAGGGAAGGTAGATTAATGGAGGTCAGGAGCAAAACAGACTCTTTAGGAGGGACAGGGTACAAAGAGAAAAAGAAGGACAAATAGAAGAAAACTGGATGGAGGAAAATATATACTTAGTAATCATAATTGTGAATGTAAGTGGGATGACCTCTCCCATAAAGTGGAAGTGAATAGAAGAATGGATTAGAAACTAGAATCCAACAATACGTTGTTTAGCAGAGAAACACTTGAAACAGAAAGACACACACACACACACACACACACACACACACACACACACACACACACACAACTTAAAATAAGGGGTTGGAACAGAATCTAGTAAGCTTCAGCTGAAGTAAAAAAGTAATCATGATCTCAGACAAAGCAAAAGAAAAATAGACCCAATTAAACAAGCTAATCAGGGAAACTACATTTTGACAAGAGCTACCATGGACAATGAAGCAATGTAAAAATTTTATATCACATTTATTTGATAAAGGCCTCATTTCTTAAATATAGAGGGAATTAAGTAAATTTATAAAAATAAGAGCAATTCCCCAATTGATAAAGAGTCCAGAAATATGAACAGGCAAATTTCAGAAGAAATCAAAGCTATCTATAGTCATTTTAAAAAATACTCTAGATCATAAGAGATTAGAGAAATGCAAATTAAAGTAACTCTGAGGTACCAACTCACATCTATCAGAAATGACAAATAATGAAGGGAATGTGGGAAAATAGGTACAGTAATGAACTGTTGGTAGAGTTGTGAACTGGTCCAACCATTCTGGAGAACAATTTAGAACTATGATCAAAGGGCTATAAAAGTCTGCACACCCCTTGACCTAGCAATACCACTGCAAGGTCCATATCCCAAAGAGATCATATGAAAAGGAAAAAGACTTATATGTATAAAGTTATTTACAGCAGCTCTTTTTGTGGCGGTAAAGAACTGGAAATTGAGAGGATGCCCATCAATTAGGGTATAGTTGAAAAAATTGTGGCATATGATAATGATGCTGTACTATTATGCTATAAGAAATGATAAGGGGAATGGTCTCCCAGGAATACCTAGGATAACCTATATGAACTGATGCAGAATGAGGGGAGCAGAACCAGGAGATCATTGTACACAGTAACGGCAATATTGTAATGATGATCAACTATAAAAGACTTAGCTACTTTGATCAGTACAATGATCTAAGACAATTTGGAAGAACTTGTGATGAAAATTGCTATCCACCTCCAGAGGGAGAACTGAAGACCTCTGAGTGCAAAACATATAATTTTCTCACCTTTTAAAAAAAAATTTATTGCCTTTTTTGCAACATGGTTAATATATGAGTATGTTTTACATGATTTCACAGGTATAATGGGTGTCAAGTTGCTTGTTTTCTCCGTTGGTAGGAGAGGAGCTGAAGAGAGGAAGAAAATTTGGAACTCAAATAAATAAATAAATAAACATAATGAACAAAGTTAAATAAATAAATAGCACATAAATAAATAAATAAAATAAGCAAATAAAGTAAATGAATGAATGAATGAATAAATAAAATATAAAAAAAGAGATTGTATGATCCTTAAGGGAAGAGACTGGCTGTCTTTTTATTAATTGTATCGCCAGCACTTAGAACAGTACCCAGCACATGGCAGGCACTTAAAACATGTTTATTGGATTGGATTGTCTAAATAATTTGTGGTACATGAATAAATGGACATTTCTATGTCCAAAACAAAATGATGAAAAATAAAGAAATGATGAATCTAGATAAAGGACACAGAATGAAGTTAGGAAAATAGCACCCACAATGACCAAAACAATGGAAATATAAAGAAAAATGACAACAAATAGAAAATTAATATTGCATAAAAATATTGTCCTTGAAAAAATTTCTTTAAATACTTATCACTTCTTTTTTTGGAGAGGTAGGCAATACAGGATGCTTAAAGTCAACGGATTCATTGGTTAGTTTTGCTGAATTTACTTTTTTTCCCAAAAGATGGCTCACTGGGTATTGGAGAAGAGGGGAATATATTCAGAAACATTCAGAAAGGAAGGTGTTATAAAAAGACATCAATAAAAGGGGGGCAGTGTTGGGAAACTTTGTTGGCACTCGAATCTGGAGAATTATGAGACATAACCATAAACAAATGCCTCCATGGCTGTAAGATTCAGTGTATTCAACCATAAAATAGGTAAAGTAACCCCTTCATTAGTAACATCTCATGGCTGTTGTAAGGGAAATGTTGAGTCAACCCTAGAGTAGTTAAAAATCCTCAAATGCTTCTAATGCTGATCTATGGTTAGGTGAGATATGGAACAGGGAGGACTGAGGTCCATTTCCTTCTTTCCAGCCAGCTCTCTATGAAGAAAATTAACCTGATCTCTGAATCTTTTTCCTAGGGTAATAAGTTACCCAAAATAGATACACATTTTCCCTTTAATCTTTATTGTCTCAGAACCTTTCCTTTCCTGGCTATATGGATGGGACTGGACCTGCAATGCCATTGGTATCAGGAACTCACAGGTGAGGCAGGTGCCTGCAGCACCCAGAGGTGAAACGATTCTCCCAGAGTCACTGAGCTAATATAGGTCAGAGGCAGGCCTTGAACCTAGATCTTGCCTGACTCCAAGGCCAGCTTTCTGTCCACCATGCCACACTGCTCATGTCCAGACCAATAAAGTGAACACCTCCATTTCAACTAACCATGCCATTGTGGAGGAGGTGAATGAACATGAGCTCTTTGAGTTTTGTGGAAACATGTTCTCCCCAGATAAAGGAGCCGGAACTATGGAAGTTGTACTTTATTTCCTTCCCCATCGACAACAACATGAGCACCAGGAATGGCACTACTTTTAAAAAAAGGCCTCCATCATCTAAAAGATTTCCTGTCAATAAAGGGAATTCTGATAAGACTAACCTCAGAAAGTGCATTTCTCCACAGGAACAAATCTGACCTTTAGTACCTCCTGTGACTCTAAGGCTTACACATTTTGTCCATTTTTATTTTACATGGGGAGCCATTGTCTGTCTACTCTAAAAACACTAAAACATTATAAAAACTAAAAATATCATAAAACTCAGTCTGTAGCCTAAGAAGCAGTTTTCCTCACTGAACTTTGTTGCTCAGGCTCTTTTCAGTCAGATCTGACTCTTTGTGACCCGATTTGGGTTTTTTTGGGCAAAGATACTGTAGTGGTTTGTCATTTCCTTCTCCAGCTCATTTTACAGATAAGGAAACTGAGACAAATGAGGTTAAGTGACTTGCCCAGGGTCGCACAGCTAGTCAATGTCTAAAGCCAGATTTGAACTTGGGAAGATAAATCTTCCTGACTCCAGGTCCAGAACTCTATCCAAGGCAGTGCTGACTAGCTGTCCCTTAGAGAACTAATAAATTTCTTTTCCTTTCAGTCTGGCTACTCACTTGTTGACCACCAGTCTTATAGACTTCAAGGTAGGTAAGATTCTTTCTATGTTCTCATGAATCCCAGCCTATAATAGCTATAATACTACTCAGTATAACAACTATAATACCACTCATTCCCCTATTCAAGAGAGTCCTTAGTGGTTCCCTTTTGTGTATGAGGACAAATACAAATTCCTTGGCATTTAAAGTCCTCCCCAAGGCATTTTCTTCCCTCATTTCAGACAATTGAAAATCTTTTCCATCTAAGCTTAGGTCAGGTGGCATCTAGAAGAGGAAGCCTTTTCCTCCTACCCCTCATCCCCAGCTAATGCCTACAGAGTAGGCATTTAATAAATATTTAATGAATTTAAGTGCACTGAACTGGAATCAGATAGCATTCACACTCATGCCCAAGACTGAAATGTCGGCTCTGCTATTTAATACTCTTGTGACCTTGAGCACTAAATTTGACCTTTCTGAGCCTCAGTTTTCTCATCTGTAGAGTGAGGAAGTCAGACTAGATGACCTGTAAGGTTAATCAATCAAACAACAATCATTAAGTAAGCACTTAGTTGGTTCCAGGCATTGTATTAGGAGATGAAGATTAAAAAACAAAGTACCTGAAATCAAGGAACTTACCTTCTAATCGGGGAGAGAACATGTACGTAAATCGAGATACATGCAAAGTATATGGAAGGTGACCTTAGAGAGGTAGGCACATGTGGGCAGGGAGAATAATAAAGGCCTGCTGCAGAAAGTGTCCCTTGAGCTCAGCCTCAAACCCAATTAAGAGCCAAAGGTTAGGAGGGTGAGCATTCAAGGCATGGAGAACAGACAGTCCAAAGGTATAGAGATGGGAGATGGGAAGTTGTATGTGAGGAATGGCAAAGAGGCCAGTATGGTTGTACTGCAACGTTCATGGAGCTGAGCAGTATACAAGACTAGAAAGCTATGAAGGGGTCTTCCAGGTCTACATCAATGATCTCATGGTTAATTCAGATTAGGAATTTCAGGTCCCATCTCACCTAGGCACTCCCACAGCTTATGACAAGAAGAAAGCCAGGATTCGCCAATGGGCAGATGCCAAGTCATGGGGCCAAAGGGTTCCTTACCAAGAGACACCAGGTTCCTATAGTTCTCCAGCATCACGTCCCTGTACAGTTCTCTTTGAGCAGGGCGCAGGTGCTCCCATTCCTCCCTGGTGAACTCCACAGCCACATCCTGGAATGTCACTGATTCCTGAAACACCAAACACATTCTTGCTCACCCAGGACTCATCCCTTCATGTGTCTCAGTGGGCAGCACCAGGCCCAGTGTTTTTGACAGCGTCCTGAGTTCAGAATATACAAAGCAGCCTCAGAATCTAAAGTGATAGTAGGCTTTGTTAAAGAGAATCGGTGTCCAGAAGGACAGACGCGATATCAATCAATCAATCAAAAACCAGCCATTTATTAAGTACCCATAAAGTGAATAGGAATACTATAGATGGAGAAACTGAGGGATAGAGAGAGAGAGTGGCCTGCCCACAGTTGCACAGCTAAGAAAAGTCAATGCTAGAATTCAAATCTAGGTTTCCTGCTTATAAAGCCAATACTCTTTCCATAACACCAGCTGTCTCTTTAATATTTCCCGATTCAGAGGAGTGGGGACTCCCTTCACCAATACAGCTCACAACCCTGCCAGGCCTTAAATAGACAGTCTTGTAGCCAAGACTTGTAGCCATTACTTGAGGGCTGAACTCTCCACATTCATCTCCATTGGTGCTTAGATAATCTCACAACCTGGGCCCATCGTAGAGGATTTTCTCCCTTGGAAGGACCTTCCAAAGCTAATATTCTGCTGACTGAACACCTCAGGATCCCAGGGTCAATTGAATGTGATGATGAGGCATGAGAGGTGGACTTCAGAGGAGCAGCAATAAACAATTAGGTGTTTACTCTTGTTCAGGGTCACCCTTAGACTCCCATTTTTCTGGTGGGAATGAGCCAGACACAAAGGGAGTAGGTACTTCGTGGATACAACAAAACTAATTGATTTATATAATCAGCAAATTTCATGGAAATAGGTATCATGGAAATATTGGATATATTCTTATATCTGATCATGCCCTAAACCAGGATTTTTAACCCCAAGTTCATGAACCCCAAAGGTATCTGCAGATACATTTCAGGGGAGATGCATGAACTTGGATACAAAAAATAAAATGAATCCTTATTTTCACTAAACCTCTACCCTAAACTGAACATTTCCTTCAATTATGAATGTAAGCAACAAATACAATAGAAATAGCAGTGTTTGTGATTTTGTCACCAATTGAAATCATGGATATTTTCATCTTCTATTACAGATGAGAACTAATCAGATGTCCAATAAGACATGTGCATCGCTTTGTCAAGAACAACCCACATACTTATGTTTTTAATAAATGGAATTTCACTTTGTCTTGTCTAGATTTTAAATGTATTGACTCATTATTTAATGCATCAATAAAGAACCATGCATTACTCTATCACCATCTTAAAATACTTTGTTTACTATATTTCAATATAATTGGTTTCTTTTATAATCCCAAGTATTTTATTTTGTGCATTTAAAAACATTCTTCTAAGAAGGGGCCCTTGGTTTGACCAGACTGCTAAAGGGATCCAAGAAACAACAACAACAAAAAATTAAGAGACCTTGCATCCATTTTTCCAACAAGTTACATCATCCATTACTGCTCAAAAGTGATTTCTACTCTATAACCAATGTGCTAATTAGCAATTTCACTACAATCAGTAACAAGCATTTATGAAGTACATCTTATGTTCCTGGCACTATGAAAAGCAATGGGGAAAAGTAGGTGGTGCAGTGGATAAATCACTAGCCTTGAAATCACAAGGATTTGAGTTCATATCTGAGCCAGAAAGAAAGAAAGAAAGAAAGAAAGAAAGGAAAGATACAAAGACAAAAATGAATCAGTTGCTGGCCTCAAAGAGTTTACATTCTAACAAGGGGGACAACATGCACATAAATACTAATGTACAAAATAAATTTGAAATTAACACAAGGAAGTTTGAAGAGGGAGAACAAGAGTGCCTGGGGTAACTGGAGGAATCACAGTAATGAGATCATGTCATATGGTTCCCAAAGCAGCCCCCACATCATGGTAGCTTCTTTCTCCAAATTAAACTTTACTCAAATAATCAGTTACAAGTTTGTTCATTTGTTTGTTTTTCAAGAGATCTTGTGACCATTTCTGATTGCTACATCACACTTTTGACTCATTTTGAGCAAATAGTCCTCCAAAAAGCACAATTTCTTCCTACACCATTCATCTAGCTAAGTACTCCATCTGGTACTTGTATGATTGATTTTTTGAACCCAGATTATGAACTTTACATTTATACTTATTAAATTTCACCTTACTAGAATATGTTCATTGAAAGGATCTTAGAAATGAAGCATCCTAAGGGTATTTGGCAAAAGGTGATGGGGGCTAGTATTGGGTTTGGTTAAAACAGATGAACTGCCCAGGAAAACAAGCATAGCTCGGTCCTGTTACCACTGAAAGCAAAGCATATTGGGAGCAGCCACTTACCACAAAGCCCAGCCATTGAACTGATCCCTCCCTTTACCACCACTGGACCTGGAATCATGGCAGCCTAGACTCACTATCTCTCCACACCTGTGCCTTGAAATCCTTCTCACTGTGGAATCTAAAGCCACATGTTAGGGGCCTACTTTTCTCTGTGTCACTAAATTGTATTAGGAAAAACCTTAGTACTCCATGACTCTAGTATTCAGGCACTGACCTTCTAGCCACTGGTTCTATCCATGACCAGAGGCTCAGACACTAGCCCCAAACAGGAGTCAAGCATCTATCTTGTGTAACTTCTGGGTGTGGGTCTTCCCCCCACTATCCTGACACATAGAAAAATGCATAAAGGGGGTGTTCGGTTAACAAGATGTCCTCAGGACATCTCAAATTCAGGAAATTCATTATCTCCCTCTCCAACCTTCCCTTTTAGAGTGTGTGGGTGGGGGAGGGGGGCACCACAATCATTCCGGTATCACAGGCTCATAACCTGGTTCTTTGGTTGTTTACTCCCCCTCCTCCCACACATCTATCACCAGTCATTTTGACTTCTATCCTGCCACTGGACTCTGATGACTCTGGAGGAGGAGAGAGTGAGGCTAATGAATTTGTGCAGCTCTGCCTCACTTCAATCCAATTCACTTGTAGCTGAAGACATCACCCTCATGATGTCACTGATCCTCTATGAGAATGAAAGACAAACAATAACAACCATATCCAAGCAACTGTCAAAAACTGTCCTTTCTACCTCATGGAATCTTTCAGATCTGACCCCTTCTCCACACTCCCACAGCCACTGCCTGACTTAGGTCCCCATCACCTACCTACACTATTGCAGAAGCCCCAAGCCTCTCACCACTCCAGCCTAGCTTACACATTGGACAAAGCTTCTTCTTTAGCACAGATCTGACCACATCACTCCCCTATTAAATCAATGCCATGGGTCCGTGTTGCCTCTAGCATAAAATACAAATGATGGTGTTTAAGTATTACAGCCTTTCATAATCTGTGTTGTGAACCTACCCTTTCCAGCCTCATCTGATATGATTTCCCCGCCATCCCTGGTTTTCTCTCTGTTCCTCACACTCTTATGTCTCATCTTCAGAGCTTTGCATTGTATGTCCCATATATCTGGAGTATACCTCTATCTTCTGCCATCCCTCTCTTCCTTTAAGAAACAATCAGGCACCATCTTCTAATGAAGCCTTTGCTGATGCTCCCAACTGTTAATGCCTTCTCTCCCAAACTACCACGACTTTAACTCTTTGTTTATGCGTATGGGGCAGCTGGGTGGTACGGTGGATAAAGCATCAGGCTTGGGGTCAGGAAGACTCATCTTCCCAAGTTCAAATCTGGCCTCAAATACTAGCTGTGTGACGCGGGGCAAGTCACTTAATCCTGTTTACTTCAGTTTCCTCATCTGCAAAATAAGCTAGAGAAGGGAATGGGAAACACTCCAGTTTCTCTACCAAGAAAACCCCAAACGGGGTCACAAAAAGTCAGACGCAACGGAAAAAACCAGCACAGTGCCTGACAGATTAGGCAGGAAGTGTATGTGCCATCCCTGATAGAATGACCCCCATCTTCCTTCCACCTGTATCCCCAACTCCCTAGAATTTGGAAAGACCAGGCTGATGTCACTGCCCCAGCATATATGATTCCCTCTGTCATTAAAGAATTTGAGTTCTTCACTTTTTAGGTGTCCTGAACCCCCTGGAAAATCAGTCTGATGAAGCCTATGGATTACTTCTCAGAACAATGTTTTTAAATGCATAAAATAAAACCAATTATTAGTTAGTTGAATGAATGAAGAAACCCTACATTAAACACTTGCTATCTGTCAAGATTTTGCTAAGCACTGGGGGGTACAAAGACAAAAGCAAAGATTGGAGCTATATTGTACAGTGGAAACAGCACAGATTCTGAAGCCAAGGGAGCTGGGAGCCGAGCTGCAGCTGCAATAACAAGAAGCTGACACCAGGTGGCGGTGCTCACCTCACCAGCTCTCCTATCAATAATTACAGGGATTTTATCATGTTTTCCTACTTTGAGCCTCATAGGATCTTGGAACTGGAAAGCACTGAGATACCATTTGGCCCAACCTGTACGTGAGCACGTTTCTCCCCATATCACAGAATCCGAGAACCTCAAACATCAAGGGGCATCCTGCCTCTGCCTGCTATGGGGATGCAGTATCTCCCACATCTGCTCATTTGATTTGGGAGAGCTCTGACTGCTAAGAAGTTCTCATACAGAGCCAGAAGGTGGCCCTCCCTAACTTTTGGGCACTGGCCAGGCCGAACAAGCTCTCTTTCACATTGCTGCCTATCAAATACACAGGATCATAGAATTAGGGCTGAAAAGGGACCTCAGAGGTCACCTGCTTTCACTCTCATTGTACAGATGAGTAAACCGAGGCCCACTGAAACTGAGTGACACAGGTTTTAAATAGCAGAGGCAGGATTTGAATCCAGGTCCTTCGACTCCAGAACCTATGGTCTGTCTGCTACTTGCCTCCAAGCTATCACGTACCCTCTAAGTCTTCCCTACTTCAGTCTAAACAACTCCATTTCTATGCTGTGAGGTGTGGGAGGAAGCCGGGAGGGGAGAGTGATATGAAGGAATGTTACTGAGATGGGGTTCTCCCCAAGGAGGAAACTCCATCCGCCAATGCAGGGCA